CTACCCGAAAAGTCGGGGTTCAGGTGCTGTCTGTCCTCCCCGGAGGCTGGAAGCTGCTGCTTGGCTCCAGCTCTCCGCCGTTCTGCTATCTTTGCGCATGGAAGTCTCCAAGAGGGGATCCCGGAAGCGGCGAGTTGAACTGGGGGCCATCGGCCGGGAGGAGGCCCGTTTTTCCGGCCCTAGGCTTCCTCTAAGGAGGCCGGGGGTCACTGCCGCCCCCTGGCTCCGCGGGGAGCCTCGGGTACTCCGGGTGCCGAGAGCCGGGTGGCCAGGAGCGCAGATTGTTGGCTTGCTGTTTTTGCTTGGTGGCCCTAGCGCCTGGTCTAGCGGCAACAGTGGCCGGGGCACAAGCTTCTTGCTGACCCCACTTTCGGACTCTTGGGGGTCTACTGTTGCTTCCCGGAGAGGCTTGGCCTCTGGATGATCCCCGCAGATCAATGCCAGCAGATTTCCTGGCGTGTCCGCATTAGTTCCAAACAACCTGTTGCGCTGGCATTGCTTTGGAGAGGCGCGGGCACTTTGCTTGAGGGAGTCAAGCTGTGTGGCGGTCCCCCGGCTTCCAGGACAGGTTTTCGGGTTCTCCCCTAATGAGAGGCACCCCTCTCCTCCTCCCGTGATACCCAGAATACTTCACCCCTGCCTGTGTCCCAGCAATCCAAGGCGTCCTGGGCACCCGTACCTTGCTTCGTCTAGGGTCTCCTCATGTAATTCTTTATACTTTGGGTAGCAAGATTAGACAAAGATCCGGATTAGGAGACACCAGCTAATCCACTCCCTCACTTCCCCAGCTCGCATCCCTCAACCCTCCACAGCCAGATAGAAATCTTTGTTGTGTTAGCACCGAGAAAAGAAAGCCAGCGTTGTGTTCGCGCTTCTGTCTTAGAAGGACAGATCCGTGGGGGAAATTCTCTCTCCTAAAGATATTTTAAAATTGTTCATATTTTGCGGTTTCTCTCCAGCGACTGCATAGGTTCCCCTTTGATTTCTTTCATGATTGAATACCAGGTCGTCCCCCCAAGATCTAGTCACCTATAGCTGGAATATAAGAAAGACATTGGAAACCTACTGGGCTGATGAGTCTACCTAGGAGATGTCTTTAGAAGTTTTATTATGAAATCCAGTTGAACAAGCTTTGACATTAAAAAACAAAACAAAACTAGGCATTCACTTGCTCTGGATGAATTCAGAAGAAATTCATATCCAAATAACTGATCTGAAATAAGAAGAGAATTTCTTTAAACGAGCCACTTCCAAATGAAGGACGCTTGGCCACAACCCAGCAAAGAGCCCAAGCGCATACGACTAAATATTGGGGCTCAACAATTAGCGTTTGTGGCAATAGCCAATGTGTGACTCCTCACAGCAATTATTTGGAAGTTTTTCCATACTTCTGAAAACATACTTGACGCCTCATTTCTTTGATGACTGCCCAATAGACACCCTGAAGCAGGAGCGGAGCTGCCCCTCCCCAAGCCCCGCTAGCTTGCAGGGCTTTCATCCAGGGCTTGAATTGTGTTGTCAAAGTTTAGTAGACAGAGGGGGGGGGGCATGAGAATGGGAGGGTGTCTTGAAAAGTCTTGGAAATCGGTATATTTTGCAGGTGTAGAATGTGCCTAATAGCCATGGCTAGTGCGTGCTCCCCAATGGTGAGGGTGTGACAAGGACAGCTGCCTGGTTTTCAGTGTGAAAACACCCCCTCGGTGGACCAAACACAGCCACACTGACCTTTCTGCGGGGGGACCCAGAGATGTGCCTTTGACTGAAGGAGCCACAAAGACGTCTTGCTATGACTTTTGTTCACCACGAAAGCAAAGAAATATTGCGTTTAATATGAAAAGTACTGTTCACAGCTTTTCCGTGCCCCTGAAGAAGTATTACATTGCTGATTTACTGGCCCCCTTCTCCAGAGCTGGTTGGTCACAAGGCAGGCTGGGGGTGGAGGGGTGGGGATGGGGCAGTGGGGATGGAGCAGGAGGAGGCGGAGTTGGTGAGTTAAATGGCCTGTTGCTGCTGTTTCCAAGTTCTCTCTGTGCAGCAGCAAATTTATCAATCTTTCCATCTGACAATACTTTGAAATATATCATTGTCATCCCAAGTTGTTTGATACATTATCTGTAGGCACACAGCCTTTTCCAAGGTCAAGTTGAAGATTCTTGTTTGCTGTTTAACTGGGTTGTTTAAAACCTCAGAACAATGCCTGCCTGTTAAATTTTCACTTGTTCTCATGGGACATTGGAAAGCAAGCTCTCCTATTGACTGGGTCTCCGGATACTTCATCGTTTGGAGTTAAATTCAGCAAACAGGGCTTTGGCAATGAGATTAACAGCGGGAAATATGAGATTTAACCCTACCCCTTGCAGATATATAGGAGATTAAGCCGTCTCTTATCTCTCATCACAGTGTGCACTCATTTTTAATGAGTGTTAGGGGCTTCTCACAGCCACACACATCATCACGTTCAACTTTCTAATTTTATTCCAGTGGGAAGCTACAAATACACTCTTCTAAAGCAGAAAGGCACAGAAATTGTGGCCACTCCTGTGGGGTTTGTTGTTGTTTGTTTGACAGAGCGTACATAACCTGTTGCTTTAAAGCTGCTCTGAAAATTGAAGCCAATTCAAAACCACCATGCTTCTGGACATACTTATTTCTGTTTTTAGTCTCAGGATCGGCTGCGTAGTTTCCTCTATATCTGCAATGATTGATTTTTTTCATTCAACTAACTTTTATTTACCTTGCAATAATGTTCTGGACCAATGTGATAAATTACAGATATGCAAATTTCTTTGAATGGTGTTGTAAGTGTGTCTAGCTGGAGCTGAATGACTGCTTGCAAGTCAGTCTGTGCGCGCTCAGGACCCCAGGGAGCTGATCAAAGCACCCATTCTCTTTCATCCCCAGTATTCTCCTCCAAACTATTTCGATACAATATGTTTCCATGATGCACTTAATGTGCCAGGGACATAGAACTCATTACAACCTAGCTAGTTCTGCCGACCTCTTTGTTCCTCGGCAGAAAGTCAAAGAAAAAAGGAAAAGCCCTGCCAGTTGCCAGCTTTCTGAAATGCTAAAGCATGCGTCATTTTTCACCAGGTCTGGTCTTGATATCCTCAAAAGACAAACTATGAAACCGGCCTCAGCCCTTTCTGGCATTAATTACATTGCTGTCCAGCCGATCTGTTTTTCCTATTATATGCATTTCTCAGCAGGGATTTTTTTTTTTGCAAGACTAATGCAGCTGCGAGCTAAACTATGAATGCATTTTTTATCACTATGGAAAAAATGAGTGAAAAGGCTACAAAGCATACAGCACAAACTTTTGAAAGCACTCTGGTGGGTAACAGATTTAGGACTGGCCTTGGGAGGGGGCTGCAAGGTCTCCAAATCCGAAGTTGACCAGAATCTCTGACATTTCCAATTCACTCAGTATCTGTGGTGACACTTATTGTGCCATTTGAAATTCCACTTTGATAGCCAGATAACTCTTAAAGGTTAAGGCTGTCCAGTAAAATTCTGAAATGGAAGGTCTTACTACATCCAAACAGGAGACACTTCCATGGAATTTTGGGCCAGGATAATGACACAGAGAATCTAAATTTTATGGGGTCTCCTTCGTTTCTTGTAGGGTTGATTGGTTGGTGGGAATGGCTGGCAGCCAGTTCTGGGAAAGATTCCAGACCTGACTCCGATTAACCCTCTCTGGTGAAACTCTGCTGGAAACCAACTCACCAGCAATTGCCATTAATCTACTTACTAATTAAGCCAATTCATTTCTAAAGGAGAAAAATTCCTTTCTTTAGCCAAACTGATGGGAGGAAATTTGAAAGAAGCGCCAAACTGTGTAACTGTAATTCAGCCAAGGACTGCTAAAACAAGGTGTTGATATATAGCAGCAGATTTAAAACAAGTTTCTAGGGCAACACTTCTTTGGAGGCGGTGGTATATAGTGTATAGGAGATGAGGCTCGAATAATGCTCCACGGCGCCATGCCATCCCATGCACTAGCTTTCAAAAAACAGGTCTCTCTCCAATTAAATCTTGTTCCTTTTACGCACGAATAAATCGCCTCTCCAGCTTTCTTTTGGACCAGCCTATGCCAGCTTTATGTGACAGCTACTCCAAATATATCGCTTGCGACTTAATAAGGAGCCTTAGAGATTTGTTGCCCAGAGCCTAGGATCAGGTACAAGGCAGACAGCCTTGAAGTTCAGGCAATGGAAAGTACAAAGCTGAACGTTACGCATGGAGAGAAGGAGCCTGGCTCTGCAGTAAGTGGCACCTGGCTTGCAGACAGAGCGATTCGACGTTCATCTTGGTTTTCATCCTTATCAAGAAGCAAAACTCCAAAGAGTTTCCTCACTAAAGAATCATGCCTTGCCTTTAGGACACAGAGCCCTGTGCGGAAATGAGAGGAAAAGTGCACCTCCCCACAGGAAATGCAAAACGCTCTTGCCTCTTCAGGGTTCACATACACCAGGCATTAGACCCCAGGGGGAAGCAGGTTGATTTGGCTTTGCATAAGAGACTGGATGTATGGGGGGTGGGGCGGGAGGGAAGGATGAGTTAAACAAGTTTAAGGCCTCAAATTTTATTTTTTATTATTATTATTGATATCCATTCTTTCTCACCCTTAGGCACTGGGGCAGGTCTCTGAATCCCAGAAAGGAAGCCCCAGAGTTTCACCCTGGAGGGTTTCGGCAGGGCTTGAGAAAGTGCGCAAAGGCGCAGGCACAGGTCCCGAGCTCGCTTCCTGTACGTGATGAGGAGAAGCTGAATGGCCAGTTTAAAAACGTCTTGGAGACAGTACCACTTGTCAAGGGTGGGCAAGCCTTACGCCAGCCAAGACGAAAAGGAGCATCTTCATCTGAGGCCAGCTCTGCGGAGCCCAGATTGCTATGCCTTTAATCATATGGGTCTCCTGGGCATGTGCTGGGGCACGAAATCTTTCTCCAAATAATCTTGCGGAGATGCCCACGACTTTGCTAGAAATGAGGAAAAGATGAACAGACTTGAACTTTCCTTTTACTAGCTGCTCTCCACCCTACCTGACCCCCACTCTCCCTGTAATTCACAGTATTTTAAAATGGCCCTTGCCCAGCTGGGGGCTTCTTAAGTCACCAGGATGGTTAAGTTGTGGGGTAGGTAGGCCAGGGGGTCAGATCATCCTTGGGCTTCAAAATAGGCTGTGCCAGCCAAATTTTCCTCAGTGACAGCTTTCCTGCAGCCACAGGCTGTAGAGATAGATAGTCTTAGGTGTCTGTGACCGAGGCCAGTTCTTCTGCTTAGAATTATGAGGCATTATAAAAGAATGGAAAAACGGGGTGGGGGAGGTGGGACAGTTCTCTGGATCTAGAGATTCAGCACTGAAATTTACCTAAAGTAATTAGACATTTGTGCTCCAATCCCCCTCTGTGTGAGATAGAAAGTTAGGAACGGTGAGGAAAGAAAACTAAGGAAAGGCCACTGAGGCAGGGAAACTGGGAGATGCCACTCCCTCCCCTAGGCTAGATTCTACCTTGTTCACCTGGTGTGTAAATTGTGAGCCAAGCTCTGGGGGTCTGAAACAGGAAAGCCACAACACGAG